GAGAGAGAGAGAGGGTGCTTAGGGTGGGGGAAAAAGAGGGGGCAAGTGGTCTAAGGGACCGGAAGTCAGTGCTCTTCTTCCGGGTCTTTCTCGAATCGCGAACCCTTTTTCACGATCTCGAAGATCGTGTCTCTTTCAACGAAGGGCATCTTCGATCGCCCTCGAGCATCTTCAGTGCGGATCATGAAGATCAGATGTTCACCACGATTATGGCTGTGTAATCTTAAAGAGATATCTTTGCTTCGGAAAACGCAACGTATCGAGAAACGCAACATCAAGAATAATTCCTCAACAAAGATAAGATGATCAAGAACGAAGGATTTTGCAAATAAATCCCCGCAAGCCATGATCATCGTTCTCCAATATCCTTGCACCATCGTCGATTTGTTTCATCGGACAACGAATTTGTTATTGAATCAAAATTTTAAGAAGAATCAGCGGCGAATGATGGCCTATATTGCAATGTCGAGTCTCACAGGATCACATGATAAGGGAATCGCGCGATAAAGAGGACAGTGCGTCATTTCAAGTGTCAACGGGATACATTCGAAACTAAGGAACACATACTCGGTGAATTTGTGGCTCGATTCGTCTTCGCGGTCGAACATTGGTGATCTTGCAAACGTTGCCGTCGCGATTTTATTATTTCCGACGAACATCAGTGCGCAGAGCGGACAAAGAAAATCTAATTGGTGACTGATTCGAGGGTGCAATCAGAGGTGCGGAGGGGATGGAGATGCGCCCCGTTCTCGTGGCGATCTGCCTTCTTCTCGTCACCCCCATCACTGGCTCTTTCTGGTGAGTGACATATGTTTCACTCTACAACATAGTCTTTTCTTTTGTTTTGCATCGGTTGTTATAAACGCGTTACTAAATTTTTAAAGATCATGCATGTTGCTTGAAACGGGAATCAAGTAAAATATGCAGCTCAATGTTTCTCTTATCTCATTCTACTTTTTTTTTATTATTTTGTCTTTAAAAGAATAAGCATTGTAGAGTTAACAAATTAGTTGTATTTATGTATTTATGAGTTTGAAAAGTGATAAATGAAAATGTATCTTACCATTATCTTAACGTTCGGCTACGACGTGCTTCCATAATAGAAATAACAATGCGTTTTCGCTTTTCTTGTTGAAATCTCCCAAAAATGAGATAAGAAGTGACAGCTTGTCATGTTCTTGGAACCGTTACACGTGACAGCCATAAAAATGAGAGTTAAGAGAAAACATAAATTATATGTATACATAGTAGTCTATTCCGTTCGTGGGATAGACTACTAGATAAGAAAAAGGGAAGAGATTGTTTCTTGTGATTGTTCCTTGCATGATTCTTGCATAATTTTGCTTGTCTCAAATACAACTGCAAGAATTTCGACATCACTTCATTCGATTGTCCTCTTTTTTATGCAAGTTATTCGCTCATATTAAATTTGACAATACAAATACTTTATTACACGTAGCTAAGATTTCGTATTCCGATGATCCCGTTAGCAAGCTATCGTTCGTGTGTTTAAAATCAGCTATTGAATGTGTTTCTACTCACACTTGTACAAAGCTTAATCCTAACCCAAGCGTTGCTATGATATTACGTAGGTACAAGATTGTCGGTTTGCTTGCATTTTAACGCCAATACTTGGTGAACGTGAAGAACTAACGAGTGCTCCAGTTTCGAGGTGCGTCATCTGGGTTATCAATTACGTCGCGTATTACGCGCACGTAAGATGAATAATGACGCTATAAATCCTCCTTTGGTAGTTATTCGTGCTCTTATAAGCAAGCTCTATCTTGAGATTTATAGCTTCATTTTGTGCTATGTAAATTGCTCATTATACATTGACAACGCAAGACGCTTTTTTAAATATCACTTTATTTCTGATCATGACTTCAAGCGTATTAATTTTACCTACTTATTGAACCGCTCTGTTTTTCGATTTATTTTTAAATTGCGATGACTGTATCGATTAAGGAAGGTGATTCGAAGCAATTACTGCAACGCGAAATCACGTGACACTTTCGGTAGCTACGGTTAAATCCCAATTATCTCGACGAGTAATAATAAATTACTCAGTAGCACGACATTTTTGCTGTGTACTTCACTTTATTATGTAAATGTTTGCATTGTGATAGAACGTTATCGTGTCCGTGCTACTTGGGATTACAGCATCCAGAGACGGACTATGTTATATATATTTAGCTAGTACGTAGCCTGAACTTTGTGCATGTATGAACAAGATGGAAATTACTTAATTACTGTCATATACTAGAAACATTATAAAATTTATTATTTATTATTACACAACACGTTAGTAATTATTAGATAATTAAGACCGATCAAAATGTATCGTCCTGTCAATTCTGATTTTTTTTTTTAATTATAAACGGAAATTTTTTTTTTTCTTTATTTTAAGTACGCATTTATATCAAAAGTTTAGCAAATTTGACAGTGTCACAGCGAAAGTTGTTCACAGAGAGAAGAATGAAGTCCCTCTTAAGATTGATTAAATATTTGTTTCCGATTTAAGGTAGATTTTTGCATCCTAATGATGCTGTGAGTCTGCACCTTGTTGCTTTCTGGCTCGCTTACCTGTCGCAGCCGTCGTTCACGGCGTGTTTGATAAATATATTAGGAGGATGACGGTTTGTGTTTCGATAACAGGTACTTAACGGCCAGACTGGAAACTCTCCGCTCTTTCTTTCTGCGTGCTTCGTTCATCATTTGCGAGTTAATCTGCGGCTACTATCGCGCATGAAGACACGTGTCGCATCGTTTTATCCGCTTCAGTAGTTATCGCACTGCATACCAGTCACAAAATTTAATCTATAATCTTATAAATCTATTAAAGTATTAATATTTATCTTTATACCATGTTTTTAATTACGAGATTATCTAGAGACTCAAAATTTTATTCTTCTATCGTAACACTTCGAAACACTTTGAAAAAAATATATTTATTGATTTATTATGATAATAAATATCATCAAGCAATATATACATTTTTTATTATTTCACATGAGAATGCACATTGATTAATAACTATATATATGAATTTATATATATATATATATAAAACATATAAAATTTTTTAAACCCTAACATTCTTTAAATTAGATGGTAAATGTCTATGAATGTTCCTATCGAGCCGGAGAAACGTCATTTCTGCGATCCTCATCCCTGCGGAATGCTATCCTGCTCTGAAAATATTGCGGGTATCATAAATCAGTCGCTCGTACGATCGTTCGTCATCGAATCGCGCGTTACGCTCTTCTCGCGAGTCCTCCTAGGGCCCGCGTGGACCAAGGGCTCCGATTATCCGATTGGAACCGGATTCCCTTTCGTCGATCGGCATTCCTTGGTTTTTTCGCGACGAATACTGCCCTATCTCCCTCTCGTTCCCTTCTGCTCGCGCGTCGCCACGCCGCGTCCTTCCGTCCTTCTCGTGCGGTCCTCTGGGAACGGAGGGATTCGCGGAGTGGCCGGAGGAGGATGGGCGATTCACGAGGGGACAAAGACGACCAAGTGGAGGAGTAAAGAGGTAAAGAAGTGAGCGAGGATGGACAATGGTCTCGCTCAAAGCGTCACCCGTAAATCTCGTTGAGCGCGTATAATTTGTAAGTCGGCAGGAGTCCCCCCCTCGCCCTCATCGTCCTCCGGCAGTCGCTGCCTGCGTTTCGTCCCTCTCAGGATACACACAGGAGTTCGTTCCACGTTCCTACGCAGCTTTCGTTCCAATCGTATGTCTCTGGGCGACTCGTGCATTTCTTCGAAGTGCTACACGTTAAACGCGATATACTGACGGTTTTTGCACAATGTGGAAGAACAATCGTGCGCTCAATCGTGAAACTATCAGATAATACTCTTTTTCTGCGGTCTCACATAACAATATAAAATGTAGACTTAAGAGGAAATTTTATGATTAATACCAAGTCAATGGTAATATTTTCGTTTAGCCAAGAGTACTCTGAAAAGTGATGAAGTGTGCGAAGTTCAAATAGTTCAAATATTTCCAAGATATAAGAAAACGTAAGAGTGTGACAAGATCAATAAATTGTTTCCCTCTTTTTCGCAGGCAAGGTAATTGATTAATTCACAATATTTAAAGAAATAATGTTTGGTATGAAAAGGCTTGCCAAACAGATAGAGCGTATTGAAGCGCGAATTTTTTTAAAAGACAGTCTCTACTTACGACCATTTTTTTGCCCCATATTTTCAGATATATCGCTTATTTAACCAATAATTGCGTAATCTATCGTTACGGTATGCGACTTTTTCTCACCCTAATCTACGATCTTTGCGCGAGTTCCGTTAAATTTTTACGAACTCTCCGTGAAATCACCGTGGCGGATTACCGTGATTACCAATTACGCCACGGAACATTCTGATTTTCATACGAGGTAGGCGTCGCGCGTTTTGCATTAATAAGCACCCGCTCGGCCGTGCTCGCGCGCTTTCACGCGCCGCTTCGTTTCCGCGATCGAGCGGCGCGCGATCGAGCGGCGGATAGTCGCGCGCGAGCGATCGATCTCGCAGGTGCACGATATATAGACAGGTCCGAGAACGCGCGCGATAGATCGGATGCGGCCGTCGATGTATCGTAACGGCGAGCCTCGGCGATAATACGATAGCCGGCTCGCGAACCCGGCCAATGGGCCGCGGTGGGCAGTCCGCGGCTACCATCCCGCTGGTTGGACAACCCGACCCGCTCTCCACCCCCCACGCTCTCACCTGGACCATTCTCTCGTTCTCTCTCACCTGCTGTATATTCATAATCATAAGACCGCGCGCGTGAGCACGCATGCGCTTGGATCGCGTACGCATCGGCGATCGGCGAAAGCCTTACGAGCTGTAGATTGCGGATAGAAATTCGTTTGAATTTATTTATTAGAAAAATATATTCTATATAAGCCAGCGTGTAATCGGATCGGTCTACATATTGTAGGCGACTGGCAGCGAGAAACGACTAGCATTGGTTAAAATGTTCGCAGCCAATACATTGAAGTGCTTATGCTTATTTAAATTTACACGAATATCTCAGAGGACATATTTATTCTTTTTATTTGAAATTTACAAGTTTATAGAAGTTTAGTAAATTGTATTCGCGATATAAAATGTTTGCAGAGGTGGTTGTATTATATATTCTAGCATACTTTTTTATTTCGTTATGGAGGAATGTAATTTCGTTCTTAAAATAAAGTAAGTAAACGCCATTAATAGCTCTTAATTGATGATTTATCATTTACCAACGTGTATGTGGCTCCATGGTCATAGATCGATATTAGCAGCGTTAGAACTGTTAAATTGGATTAAATTAAAATCAATTTAATTATATACACTTATATGCTATCTATGATAATCTACGGCGCGTCTTGTGCGGAAAGGCATGCTTTACGACACGTTCCTAATATGAGTATTATTAGCTCGGATGGCGCGTAATAATTCTTGATTACTATAATTACACGACGTACGTGGCTGATTGCGAGCGTCGATACGCGAGCAATGACGTTGGTGCTAAAGCGATCTTAATCATAGGTACGAATTTTATTCTCAGAACATGCCAAGCAAGATCTAAGATATCATAAATTGATGATACTTTTTTACTTAATTTGTTCATAATTTCAATCAAATGTAAAACTTTTTCTGCGAATAAGTAAAGTTCTGCGCACAATGGAGGAAGTAGGAATAAATATTAAAATTTGGAAATGAAAATTCAATGGAATAAAGATTAAATATAATGCACAATGAATGCATAAGTAAATAAAAGTTACAACTAATTATATCAATTAAATAAAAAAAATAATAAA